TTTGACTTTCCAGTCGTTTCCGAAAGTCATAAGACTGTTTCCGCCGACATCACCGTACACGTCGATAATCACGTCGTCACTGCCCTCGTCGACACCGGCGCCGATTATTCAGTTATGAGCAGCACCCTAGCATCCCAACTGAGGAAGGTAACTACCCCTTGGCAAGGACCACCGTTGCGCACGGCAGGGGGCCACCTTGTCACGCCTACTGGAATGTGCACAGCCCGTGTTCGAGTCCATGCTTCGACGTTCACAGGGTCTTTCCTCGTATTACCTGTGTGCTCCCGTCCACTCATTCTGGGGCTGGACTTTCTTCGCGAACACGGCGCAATTATTGACCTACGAGACTTGCAGGTGTCGTTCGAGGACCCGTTTCATCCTGAACCGGAAAACGCCCGCTCATCGAAGGCTGCCCTACGTGTATCCTCCGAATCTGTTACTCTGCCTCCCCGCAGCAGCCTTTTTATCAACGTTGAATGTGACCAAGACGTCTCCGATGCTGTAATTGCAGAAGGAAATTTGTCCCTACTTTTGCACAACAAATCTGCGTTGCCCGAGGTATTGTTCAGCCCAGCAGAAAGCAGGCTTGCCTATTTGTCACGAATTTCAGCGAGGAGTATCGCCATCTTACCAAACACACTGCGATCGCATACCTTGAGGATATTGCTGACGTCCCTGGTCCCTCAACATTATCTGCTCTTTCGTCGTGCGACGATTCCGCCATGACATTTGCAAGCACTCTGGACGTAAACCAGGGTCTACCGTCTGCACAACGGGAACGTCTTTTGAAGCTACTCGGCTCATTTCGGGACTGCTTCGCTACGACTTCGAAAGTTAACCAAACACCGCTTGCCAAGCATCGTATCATCACCGAGCCTACCGAGAGACCCATTCGACAGCATGCCTACAGGGTCTCGCAAAAAGAACAAGACGTTATACGCCAACAGGTTCAGCAGATGCTCAAGGACGATGTCATCCAGCCATCGACCAGTCCCTGGGCGTCCCCTGTTGTGTTAGTCAAGAAAAAAGATGGTACTCTGCGATTTTGCGTCGACTACCGAAAGTTGAATAAGATCACGAAGAAAGACGTGTATCCTTTACCACGAATAGACGACTCGCTGGACCGCATTCGCAATGCTCGCTACTTTTCTTCCATGGATCTACGCAGCGGCTATTGGCAATTATCTGTTGATGAGCGCGACCGCGAAAAGACCGCCTTCATTACTCCTGACGGACTCTACGAGTTCAAGGTCCTTCCCTTCGGCTTATGCTCGGCACCAGCTACTTTTCAAAGAATGATGGACACGGTTCTTTCTGGGCTAAAATGGCAATCGTGTCTTGTGTACCTTGACGATGTGGTCGTCTTCTCGGACACGTTTGAGCAGCACGTCCAGCGCTTACAGGCAGTTCTTCAAGTGATTCGAACAGCTGGACTTTCTCTCAAACCTGAGAAATGCCACTTTGCATTCGAGGAACTAAAATTTCTTGGTCACGTCGTCAGCCACGCTGGTATACACCCAGACCCTGAAAAAACGAAAGCTGTTGCCGCATTTCCTGTCCCAACGAACAAGCGCGACCTCCGCCGATTTCTGGGACTCTGTGCATATTACAGACGCTTCGTCAAAGGCTTTTCTAAAATCGCTGAACCGCTAAATGAACTTACGAAAGACGGCGTACCGTTTGTTTGGGGTCATGATCAGCATCACGCCTTTGACACGCTACGAAACCATCTCCAAGCCCCACCTGTACTCGGTCACTTTGACGATAACGCTGCCACAGAGCTACACACGGATGCCAGCAACGTCGGACTTGGAGCTGTACTGGTTCAATGGCAAAATGGCGTAGAGCGCGTGATTGCCTATGCAAGTCGAACACTATCATCTGCAGAGAAAAACTACTCTGCAACAGAAAAAGAATGCTTAGCCGTTGTTTGGGCTATAACAAAGTTTCGCCCTTATTTATACGGTCGACCATTCAGGGTAGCTAGCGACCACCATTCTTTATGCTGGCTCGCCAACCTCAAAGACCCTTCCGGTCGTCTAGCACGCTGGAGCCTTCGGCTGCAAGAATTTGACGTTACAGTCATTCACAAGTCAGGACGCAAACACACTGATGCTGACTGTCTCTCGCGTGCACCAATTCGAAGTACGAACGCGGACGTTGAAGAGGACGATACATTCCTTTCCTCTGTGTCAGAAACCGACTTGGCTCAACAACAACGCGACGACATGGAGCTAAGCCCGCTGATTGACTACCTCGAAGGCCGAAAACGCAGCCTTCCTCGAAACTTTGCACGTTCGCTGGCCTCGTTCTGCATCAGGGATGGAGTCCTCTATAAGAAAAATTTCGACCATACCCAGGCTACTTACCTACTGGTTGCGCCGACCTCGCTTCGGGACGATATTTTACATGCTTGTCACGACGAACCATCATCCGGACACCTTGGCTACACGCGCACATTGGAAAGAATTCGCCGCTCATACTACTGGCCCCGCCTCGCGAAGACAGTCAAGCAGTACGTCCGCACATGCCGCGACTGCCAACGCCGTAAGACTCCGCCTGTCCGACCAGCAGGACTATTACAGCCTATCGCCACGCCGAAGACACCATTCCATCAAATTGGCATTGACTTGCTCGGCTCATTTCCCACCTCTTCATCTGGAAACCGGTGGATTGTGGTTGCCACCGATTATTTAACGCGTTACAGCGAAACAAAGGCCCTGCCCAAAGCTACCGCAGCCGAAATTGCACAGTTTTTTGTCACCAGCATCGTACTTCGTCACGGAGCGCCAGCTGTGATAATTACTGATCGTGGTACAGCTTTCACCGCAGAGATGCTTCAAGAAGTTCTGAGACTAAGTGGTACAGAACATCGGAAAACCACGGGTTATCACCCCCAAACAAATGGGCTCACTGAACGGTTGAACAAGACCATTGCAGATATGCTGTCAATGTATGTGGCCGTTGATCACAAGAACTGGGATGATATACTCCCTTACGTAACTTTTGCTTACAATACAGCAGTCCAAGAGAGTACAGGTTTCACCCCATTTCGCTTAGTTCATGGTCGAGAGGTCACCACAATGCTCGACGCAATGCTCCTTCCCAACCACTTGAGCATGTTCAACACGGACGCTGCATTGTTCGCTCAACGCGCCGAGGAGGCCCGTCAACTCGCCCGATGCCGTATTCAGGCTCGCCAAACTGCCGACGCACACCGATACAACCTTAAACACCGAGAGGTTACCTTCCAACCAGGCGATGAAGTTTGGGTGTGGACTCCCATCCGACAACGTGGTCACTCTGAAAAGTTGCTTCGGCGCTACTTCGGCCCTTACAAAGTTCTGCGCCGACTCAGTGACGTTACGTATGAAGTTCTCCCTGAGGGCGCCTCAAGACGTTCCCGTCGGTTTCCACAAAGTGATGTGGTGCACGTGTCAAGACTCAAGCCATATTTCTCGCGTCATCCATCGAACGTGAACTAACTTACCATCCAATGACTATTTTTTGTCCCTTTGGTTTTTATTGTCTTGTGTACTTACTCCTTTCTTTATTGAGTACTTCTAGGACGCCAGCCCATTTTTTTTCTCCCTTACGACGGAGTCGTTGGGTTCCATGGTAGCATCTTTTCTTTCTCTTTTTTTTTTCTCATCGCTCATTACCAGCATCGAGCCGATGCTTTTCGAGGAGAGGGAGTAATGTCACAGGTAATGGGTATGAGCCATCAACTGTAGGCGGAATCCCTTTGAAGTGAAGAAAGAAGAGGGCTTTTGCGTCCTGGTCTGAGGGCAAGCAAGACGTCGTTTCGTCGCTGTCTGTTATTACGTTCGCGGCAATATATATATATATATATATATATATATATATATATATATATATATATATATATATATATATATATATATATATACATACTAGTATTTCTAGCCAATCTGAGGTCCGGGGAGTGTGGCAGAACGTGAAAAAGAAGATGAGTGCTCCGGAACGGTTATGATTCCCACTTTTTCGAACTCTACAAGGAGTCTTGCTGAGCTTAGGCAGCTCCATCATGAAAACGGAGCGTAGTGATTTTTGACGTACAGTTTTCATGCGTTTCAGCACGACATCACAGTTTTAGTCTAGCAACCTCCACGTGCAATCGCTCGAGAGAAGCACGTATTGCGACGAATTTGGTCAGTAACGATAATGTTGGCTCTGTTCTACGCGTCCGAGTCAAAATTACACTAATATGACTCGAACTTAATACCACGAAAACGAAAGTAGGTGTGTTATACGCCTCAAAAATTGCTCGTATTGTGCTCGTATTGTGCTTCGCTCGTCCCGCACCACCGGTTCAGTGAAAGAATACCAGTTACCAACTAGCCCATCTTTCAATCGTTCTATTATGAAGCTTTTTTGTTGGACAAGGTAACGTTTTTTTTTACAGACAGCGTGCACACGTGTCTCTTTTTGAATGCATTGTAATGGTTATCCATATCCACGGGATGATTGCGCTCTCAATAATTGTTCTGTTGGCGAGAGTGACATTTTTCCCGTTATCTTTTTAATTCAAGATACTGTATCCAGTTCTCCAAAATATGGCTAAGCAGTGCCTTTTATACGATACTATGCGTGCAAACAAGATAGCCTGGCATAAAGCATGCTTTCACAATGCAGCTAAGTGCACGTGCTCGATGAAAGGGCGAATCACAAGGCTATTGAAGTGTTTTGTGTTATGGATGGGATTGTGCATAGCAGCTACTACGCATCTCTAGGCATGGTGTTGAGAGCCGGTAGTCAGCCTAGAAACTGGGATAAAAAAGAAGGTCAGTACAGGTTGATAAGATTGTCTCTACTGAAGAAATTACGACAGGTGCGCTACTCTCCCAAGCAGAGCTGTTGCGACAGCCTAGTACTTGACACACTCCGACATAAGAGGCGTGTAGATGACGAGACACTTAAAAAGAAAATCAAAAAAATAAACGCCTGTATGTTCACGCAGCTGCCTTTTGTGCGTCATTGTCTACGGAGCTTGGCGGCGTTACACACCCAGCAGCTGCTGTGGAAACAGCCTACTTGCGATGTCTGGGCGTGAGGTACGTACGTACTCTAGGCAATTTATCATGTGTGCTGAATCGCGCGATAAAAGCAGAGTGGTATGTCTGAAAATTGTTATGCAGAAAACTAAAGTAATGTTCGTGTTTTGGAAAAAAACAACGCTTTGCGATAGGTAGCGAAGGCCTCGAAATGGTATACCATGTCTACTCAGGGAAGGTTGTGACGGCGTAGTAGAACCATGAGAATAAAGTAATAGGAAGAGCGAGGATGAAGTGAAGCGTATTTGGCAGGCATTATGAAGTTATGAACGCATTAACAGTTACATCATAACTGTACAAAGTAGAAACATGGAGGCTCAAGATGAATGCCAACTAAGACTGTAGACGGTGCAGCGAGCCGTGGAGGGAAAAGTGGTAGGTGTAACTTTAAGTGATAACAAGGGAGCAGTGCGGGACAGGGTAGAAGCTGGTGTGAAGGAAATCTTAGTCAAAATAAACAAGAAGATTTGGACATAGACACTGCATATTGCGCGTAGGCAAAGTAACGCTTATTCATTATGTGTAACAAACTGGATTCTAAGAAAATGCGTTCGCTCGAAATAAAGGCCATAAAGTGGGTGGCTAGATGAAATCAGAAGTTTTCGCTGTTGACTTGGCCGCAGTAAGCACAGGTTCGTGTTTGTTGGCAAGACATTTACGTCTTTTGCACTTCAGAGGGCACAGTTTGGCTAATGAGGATTATGGCTGATGGCTGATGAGGACCTCGTTGTTTTTCTTTGGTGTATAACTGTCTGATTTCATAAGCTGGCTGGACCAACGCACAAGGGTAAAAACATGTAAGGAAGTGCATTTTGTTTATTCCTCCATTATTATATAGGGTAATCACAACGTGGCTGTCGTATGCAGGTCTGCGAGTGCGTGGATTTCGCGCTGTTGTTTTCCGGCTTTCGCAAGCAAAGTTATCTGTGGTTTGCTTGGTGCCCCGATTTTTCCATCATTCACAGGTCAATGGTAGTCAAAACAGATGTGTAGTTTGCCAACATTTGTGCTTTAGCTAGCCGGAACTAGCCATTTAGGGCTGTCATAGTCATTACAAGACTTGCCAGAATTCGCGTGCGCAAGCAAACAAACTATTATCAACCACCAGCTAGCATCACTATATCCAAAAGCAACGAGCATCATCCAGCAGTCGGGGTCACTCTGATAATCATCGCATGTGACGATGTAATTTGCCTACTCAATACCAGCTACAGTTGGCAAGCACTAATCCCAATTGTACCTTAAAACTGGCTATTAATACCAGTTGGAGACTACATCAGTCACCACTTACGAACACAAGCCAAAGCTTGGCTACCGAAAACCAACAATGGCTAGCGCCAGCCAGCACCAAGTAGTGACATTCAACAGTTCACCATCACAAAGCGTCATTACACAGCACAAGTGGAATTGCGCCGAAGTGGAGTGGTTTAAGACAAGTAAACTTGATACATGCCATCGGATATCAATGAACTCATGTCATTGACGTTGCTTTACGTATATTAGAATATCTTAGCTAAAGAGATCAATGTAACAATGTTTTTAGGCTTTGTGGTGTTAGCTTTATTCTTGTAATTCTAGCAAGCATTACTCTAGGAATACACAACCTAATGATTCAAATAAAGACGTGGGACGAAAAAGATAATAAGAGTAGGCACAACATTAAGAAAGATTAAAAGCAAGTATTGCTTTTTCTATTGTTTGGCTTCTGCTGCTATCCAAGCTACATATTGGTATGCAAATAATTGGTATTTCTGGTTTTCTTGCAGCACTTTCTTTTGCGTACAAATGTCTCAGAAGAGCGCATCACAGGGAACATTGTGCTGAATCAGCCATACATGTTTGATTCATTGATATGTGGTGTTTAACGTTCCAAAACCACCATATGCTTATGAGAGACGCCGTAGTGGAGGGCTCCAGAAATTTCGACCACCTGGGGTTCTTTAACGTTCACCCAAATCTGTGTACACGGGCCCACAACATTTCCGCTTCCATCGGAAATGCAGCCGCCGCAGCGGGGATTCTATCCTGCGATCTGCGGGTCAGCAGCCAAGTACCTTAGTCACTAAACCACCGTGGCGGGGCAGCCATACATGTAAAGCTGCAGACACTTGTTGACCTTACAGGACAAAAATTAAGTTTGTTCCTTGCAAAAGCGCGTAGCGTACCACTATTAAGAAAGAGGAGGCAAAATGGGCGAACGTAATGGGTGAGCTCGACCTTGGCTGAGTTAAGTTCATGGCTGAGTTAAGTGACTCATGCCATGGGCGACGCCGTGGCGCAGACATTCGGGTGATAACCTGCAGTTTTTTGAGAAGCTCCAAGTTGGCACAGTATACAGACCTCTAGCACTTGAGCCGCATGTAAGGGATCGAAGCCGCATCTTCAGCGTCCACAGCCGATGGACCGAGCTCTGAGCAAGAGCGGCTGTGAACTCAATAAAACGTGGACAGAAGCTGTCTGCAGTGTCAGGTCGGCTAGATAATTCTTTAGAGGTACCAGCTTCACACGTGCACTTTAATACGCTGCAGATTGTACGATTGAACTATTATGGTTATCGAATATGGTGTAGTAGCACTGGACAAAAGGTACAAGAAGGGCAAGACACTCCTTGTGATCGGTGCAATTTGTTAGACGCCCACAGCTTATTTTAAACGACATTCTGACCGCATTCATAGCAGTGCACCTGCCACTGTGTTACTCATATTTTAGCTCGGTATAGATATAAGAATGAACAAAAAAGGTAGCCAATAACCAGAAGCCCCAGCGAATTGAGAGCCGGGCTCTTTTAGTGCATGCTGCAGACATTTTCGATAAAATACTTCACGGTTTTCGAATGTACGAGGCGCTGAATAATGAATTATTGATATGAAATATTTTGCTATAGACTATACGAAGTCCAATCATTGTTTCAATGTTCGCATTGACAATGCATTACGAACTTGTCAGCGAAATAAAGACAATCAAAATCAAGTGTTTGAAATAATTCATAATTTGTTGCCGAACTTTTATGAGTTTCGATAATTGAAGAAATGTTGAGTGGAAGAGCTTAGGTGCTAGCATCGAGAAATCCAGGTTTGCTGTATTGTAGAATAAAGTCTCGATGTGTTTTTTCCAGTAGACCGAAACTGAATTTGATTGGCTGGGACAGTAAAAAGGCTGAAACAAATTGCTTATAGAAAAATTCGAGTATCAAAGTAGAGTTTGGGTAACTTTGTGAACCGAATGGCGACAAAAGAGAATGCGCGTTTTTGCGCACAGCACTCCTGCACAATAAAACATTGTAACGGGAGAGAAGAGACGCTATTATAAGTTATTAAGTGACCGAGCGGAGACAACCCTTTGTCCTCTTCGTCAGGCACACATGCGCATACCTCCAAAAAAAGTTAATATGCATGTAGCATAATCCCTGGTGGCGGAAGCACTGTCTTGCTGTATCTAGATTCCAACGTCACCCGAAGAGTGGTATGGTTTCAAGCGTGCCACATGTATGATATCGGTGGCTTGTGATGTAGATGGAGGCGACGAGGCAGCACAGGCAATTTCATATGCCTTTCATAAGCTCGGTATGAACCTGTGTAGCCAGAAAGTAGTCTTTCCGCCAAACCGATTTGACGGGTCGGGGAACACAGCAGGACTGAAGAACCCGGGAAGAGTGCATGTCTCGATGCTGTTGATCTTACAAACGCCGTTGGTTCTCTTGAGAGGCCAGACGGTCAGTACGGGTGATTTCGTGCACATGGGCAGTGGGAGCGATCGCGTCAAGGGCATAATCGCAGGTCGTTGCTGCGGGAGACGGGGTGGCAGTATCAAGGAGTAATGGAAGTTCTCAGCCAAACAACAGAAAAAATAGAGTAAGTAGCAGTGTCATCGTAGGAAGAATTGTATGCAAATGCCGCGTATGGTAATGCAAGGTCCTATTCACAGTGGTTGGGAGAAACATTCTTCGCAAGCATGTCTGTAAGTGTTCGATTCCGACGCTTCATGGGTCTATTTGTCTGCGAGTGGTACGACGTAGTGAGCTTGTGCCTCGTTTCACATGTCTGAAGGATATCGGCTATGACCTTCGATAGAAAGGTGCTGCCACACTCTATAGGCAGCTGGCATGGACCTTCATGCTGCCAAATCACGTCGTGTAGGAGGAAGTCGGCGACATCCTTAGCGCACCTTGTTGGAAGAGCTCGTGTGATGGAGAAGTGCGTGGCGTAGTCTGTGCGCACAGCTATCCACCTGTTGCCAGAAGAAGAGGAAGGAAAGGGGCCAAGTAGGTCTGAGCTAAGACGGAAGAATGGTTCTGACGAAATTTCAAGTGGTTGAAGGTGGGAAACGTTGACAGTTTTTTTCGGCGCTGACCACTCTCACAAGCCGCAACGCATCTTCTGACTCAGCTTAGAGCCCTGGCCAAAGAAGCGTCATTGAATTCAATTGTAAGTTCGAGACAAACCAAGGGGTACGGCAGTTAGAAGATCATGAAGTTTGTGCAGAACAGCCGAGCGAAGGTTTTACGAAATGACAAGGAGCAGGGATGCACTGTCTGGGCAAAATGTGGGTGATAAAGTACACTATCGGGGAGGACGAATCAGTGATGCGACCGGTTTGAAGGCGGTGATTCGAGGCGTTCGATGACAGCACGAAAAGACGCGGCATGGCGTTTCTAGTCACTAATGGGAGTCAGTTGCGAAACGGAACAGACGAAAGTGTCGGGGACGGTGTCGGAAATGATATGCTGGATTCATTGACGTGATAGCGAAACAAACAGTCCGCGTCCTGAGGTAGGCGTCCCGACTTGTACGTCATGGAGCCCAGCATCCAAACCGCCCAGTAGGATCCTTCAGAGAAGAAAGCCAACATAGCACATGATCGTCAGTTATAACAGAAACATCAGGGCCATATCAATGCGGACAGAATTCGCAGACTGCCTACACAAGAGCAAGACATTCGTGCTTCGTAATGAAATAGTTGCGCTCAGCAGCTATAAGGAGGCGGCTAGAGTAGGCGATAAT